GCCCTGAGGGGTCGGCTTCCCTCCCCCTTCCCAGCCGGCTTCGGGAGCGGGCGGAGGGGCGCCGCGGCCCGGCGTTCCGGAGGCTCCGAAGCGGGGTCTCCCCCACCCCGTTCCTCCGGGACCCGTCACCCTCCAGCCCCGGCTAGGGTGGGGGCCGGCGGCGGGTGCTCGCCTCGGGCGGTCCGCGGGTGTAGACCGCACCCCCCCCCCCAGTCCAAGTCCCAGCTCGGGACGGGGGAGGGGGGAGGGCGGTGGACGGAGTCCGGCCGCGACCACCCCGGCCCCGCGCTGCCCGGGGGTGGGGGGCAGCGGCCGAGTTTCTCTGAAAGCCGACACGTCGTGTCCCTGGTGGATCGGAGTTTCCAGAAAAACAGTTGAGGAAGAAAAGGACTCATTCTTCCAACCGCCGATTGCGGGCAGCCACCGCGGGGCCGGCGAGCGCGTCGCCCCGCGCTGCCATCCAGAAACTGAATACGGCTGCGCGTCCGCGGCTCCCCCCTTGAAAAAAGGAAAACGGGAGAGAGAACGGTAGAGGAACTTGATGGCCGGCCTTGCAGAGACGCTTGATCCTGAAGATCATTCCACTCGGAGTTTAGTTTCTTCTTTTTTCTTTTTTCCCTGTGTTTTGCAGCGACCACAGAAGGGGCCTCCTGGTGGCAGGGCTAGGCAGCCCGGGGCCGCAGGACCCTTACCCGCCCGGGAGGGCCTGCCTTCCCTTACCCTTCATTCTACCTTCTCTTCTCCAAATGCTGCTGCTATGTATGCTTGGTTGTTTGTTTTTTAAACGGATAACACCTGGCTAGCTCTAATCTCCTCTTAGAAGATTCAAATCAAACTGTCCGTGAAAGCTTTTGAAATATCTTGAGGTTTCTTACAGATGCAGATTGTGTGTTACAAAAGATTTCAGCCCCCAGGTCTGGATACCAAGTGTGAATTACTGGACTTATACTTGGGCATAACCAGTAGACTTTATGTATGCTTACACACAGTCCTTGATAATCTTTAAGATCTTTATGTTCCTGTATCTTCAAGATTAATGAAGTTTAAAAAAGTGAATTTCCATTTCATTGGATATCCCCTTCTCAGGTTATAGGAAGATGAAACCCTTTGCCTTTAGGATATCAAAGATTTTTGTGCTTGAGAAGTTAAAGATGTGGCATCAAGGGCGTAGGCATTGATACCTGTAATACTAGCTACTCAAGAGGCTGAGATCTGAGGTTTGAGATTCAAAGTCAACTTGAGCAAAACATTCTGTGAGATTCTTATCTCCAGTTAACCAGCAAAAAGCCAAAAGTGGAGGTGTGGCTCAAGTGGTAGAATGCCAACCTGGAGTGACAAAGGCCAAGAGCCAGCACCCAGGCCTTGACTTCAAGCCCCAGTATATATGGTGTGTATGTGTATATGTGTATGCTTGCTTGCAAAGACACACACACACAACACACACACACACACAGACACACACACACACAGACACACACAGACACACACACACACACACACACACACACACACACACACACACGGCA